AAGGTTTACAAATGTTTTCAAGTTTCAGTCTGTCCAATTTCAGGTAGTAGGAAGCACCTGTATTTCCTCATGTCTCCTTACTGCTGCCACGATATTTTTATAGAAGGAGAAAGAAGAAGTGAGAATTGTGGAAAAAACATGGGTTCCAGCTAAAGTCTGAATAACGCCCAAGCCTTGAGCAGGGCATTCCCAAAGCTCTGCTCCCCCAGGGTGGCCAGACCTGGTCTGGGTGTCCAACCAGGATACCTCCATCCTCTTAACACCGGGTCCCGTAACTTATACTAGGGACTTTGTGTGGAGGAGAGAGGGGTCACTTCCTGTCTGTACTGGAGGCTCCTTTGAAGACACAAAAAAGGGTGTGTTGCTTTGTGACTGTGGTAGTTTCCTGTTAAATATACCCTGCTTGAAGGAGAGAAAGAAGAGGACGCTAGAGAAAGGGAGGAGGGGGAGGGGGAGGGAGCAGGGGGAGGGAGGAGGAGGAGCAAGAAGCAGCAAAATGCTTCTAATCAATCAACAGTCAGTCCTAACGGGATCTAAATGTAAACGAGAAAGAAAAAACTAGCAACATACTGGAAGAAATATCAAAAATAACATTACTTTAAAACAATTAAGAAATAACTAATTAATAATAATAATAACATTCCTTTGAGAAAATCTTTCTACTCAAGAGACAAATACCAGAACCCATAGAAGAAAGTCCAAGGTATTTGACATTAAAAATGAAAAACTGCAAAAGATGCCATGAATCAGGTCCAAATATGATGCGAGACCAGGAGGTCTCACAATACTTGCAGTGGATGGAGGGAAAGCTCCACACCGCACGGAGAGACAATAAATCTGCATGAAAGACTGAAACCAATATTTAAAATATGGGAACCTTTGAGAAAGTGGAGGAAATTGTTGGGCTTCACCATTTTGTTTTTGCCCCGCAGAAAATAGACTTTGTCCATTGAGGATACGTTTGCGTCGCTCTTATGTACAAGTGTGCCGGCTACCAGAAATCCCGTTGCACCGGCATGATTTTATATTGACTGTGGGTTGCAGAACTTAATTAAATATCCTTATGAGCTGTGGCCTGGTTACCATAAGTGGCCCCTGATAAGCATGCAGACTGGAGCCCAGAGGTCCACGGACTGGATAAACAGTCTCACAGTCGCACAACTGGATGGCCCCTAGACTCAAACTGAGGTAAGCTTTAAGCAGGTCTTCACTCAGAGACATGAGGAGAGATCCCCCCCTTTGGAGACCCCAAAGATCTAATGAGTATACAATCAGACTCAGCTTGACCCCCAGGATGACAAGAGATGTCACCCAGGACGGCTACAGCTCCAGTGTCAGGGCCGAGGCCAAAATCTTTGGTCCATAGAGATTTCAGACACTGTGAAAGCAATGCCTTCTCAGTGGGAGAGTCGGCTGAAAATTGCTCAGGGAAGTGTGTGGCAGATGCTACCAGCATCACTTGGTGGGGACTGGAAGGGTCAGCAGGAAGAGGCACAGGGCCACTGCCACACTGACCCCTGCCCCACCCCGTCTCTCCATCCCGTGTGGAGGTCTGTGTGGCTCTGACGTCCTGGACATTAGGAGTTGTGTGTTCCAAAACAGGGACCCACCTCCACCTGCCTGTTGTCCCTTTGTAGAAGGACAGTGGGAGTTGGTAGGAAGCTTCCAACTGAACAGGTAACAATGGGGACTTTAGATCATCCCAGTAGCTAGCAGAGACAGTGACTTCAGGCAGCAGAGCACAGGGAATTGCCCTCCACGCTGACCTCACTGGTGACCTCACGGGAACGGGTTTCGGCCTCTCGTTGCCAGGCTGCCAGCATCACCCACTGGACAGTCCTATTGGTCTCTCCTCAGGGGGGGAAATTGGGCCCTGAGTGAGTTATCAGTTGCAATCTCAGGAAGGTTCAGAGGTAAGGCTAAAAATGACAAATACAATCAGCCCATCATTTTAATATTTTTATGTTGAAATGAAGATAAATATGTGCTCAATTTCCATGTACTGCTAATGTTGAAGAGAAGTGGACACATCCTCAGTGATAAAAGCAGATTTCAGATTCTAATTTATAACACATAATGGAGTAATTGATTTGGAGGAGTTACTTTAAACTGAAAGACACTCAGCTGGTTACTAGGATGGTGTAAATGAGCTTTTCCCAGAGAGAAGAGCCTCAAGGTCATCAGACCCCAAACCAGGAGGGCGAGGGGTAGGGGTGCGTGGAGAGGAGGCTGTGACAGCCACACCAGCGGGCATCTCCGGGATGTGTGCCGGGGAGGCCACCAACCTCTATGCTCCTAGCAGTTAGGAGACAGAAGAGATTTTTCTCTGATGTCCCAATTGTGCCTAAATATGGCCTTTAAAATAACAGCATCCAGTCTCTGGGGCAAACAGTATGACAGTGCCTCAAACAATTCAATACAGAACTTACATATGATCCAGCAATTCCACTTTGGGTTTAGACTCCAGAGATATGAAAGCAGAGCCTTTTTTTCTTTTTAAGAGGCATTTTATGTTTTGGTTAGAAGGTAACTAGGTTTATTTATTTAGTTAATGGGGGCAGAGAGGACTGAACCCAGGACCTCACCCATGCCACACACATGCTCCCCCACTGAGCTGTACCCTCCCCACTGAAACCAGAGTCTTCAACAGACACTTGTAACTCGTGTTCCTGGCAGCATTGTTAACAAAGGCCAAAAGTTACAAACAACTCAAACTTCTATCAATGGATGAACAAGAAAAACAATGTGGTCTATACATACAGAGGAATATGATTCACATGAAAAATAAAGGGAATGCGGACATGCACTACAACGTGGGGGAAACTGAAGAACATTATGCTCAGTGAAAGGAAACAGCCACTAAGGGACAAAGACCATATGATTCTCCATGTATGAGGCACCCAGGTTAAACCAATTCCTGGAGACTAAAGGTAGGAAAAAAAAATGTAAAATGGGAGTTCCCAGGGGCTGTGGGAGGGCAGAGGGGGAATGTTTTGGGGACGAAGTCTCAGTTTTACAAAATGAAAGAGCCGTGGAGCTATGGATGGTGGAGATGGTGGCACAACATTCTGAATGTATTTACCCCGCAGCTGCACACTTTGAAACTGCTAAGGTGGTAAATGAGAGGTCACGCATATCTCACTACATTAACCAATGAATTTGGAATAAGAGGCCAGCCATAGCTCACGGTGAAAAAGAATGCGACAATGAATATATGTACGTTCATGTATAACTGAAAAATTGTCCGTTACACTAGGAACTGACACAACATTGTAAACTCACTATAACTCAATAACAACAACAAAAAAGAAGCCGCTCATACACGGACAAACACGGATTCCTCTCAAACGCGGTCCATACGGTACCAGGTTCCTGAGGCCGGGGAGGGCAGTGGTGCTTCCCAGGGATGGAGGGCAGAGGGATGTGGAGTTAGTGTTTCATGGGGATTGAGTTTCAGGTTTGGGAGATGTAAACATTCTGTGACTGCATGGTGCTGCTGGGCTCCCAAGAATGCGAACGCCCATAATGTCACTGAACTGGACACTTAAAAAAGGTGAAATGTGAAATTTTGTTTTGTATATTTTACCACAACTACATTTGAAAAAGTAAATCCTTAAAACACAGCCTTTGGGGAAACACACAACAGCACCTGAACCCTTTACCATCTGAAAGCATCTTCACACCCAGGACCGCATTTGCTGCAGCGGCCCTGAGATGGGAACAGTTACTGTCCTCTGCTTCACGAGGGGAGACTCAGATTCAGACCTGCCCCAACCCTGGGAAGCTGGGCTGGGCTCTGATTCTTGTTCTGCTCTGTTGTGTGGACTTTGCCATTTCTCCAGAGGGAGAGAAATCCTGAAACCCAAGAGTATTCCCTAAATCCTCTCTGATAGCTAGTTATTAAAGAAAAGGGCGCACTGATCAGAAGCATGAATGTCCATGTTAAAAATAAAGATTAAACGCCCCCCGCCCTGGGACGCCCGTGCTGGTCCTCCCTGGGTGATGGGCCTCCCTTCCCAGGTGCCAAGGACACGCTGACTCGCTGTGGACGGGCTGCCCTGATCAGTTTTGTGAAACCTGGATGGAATGTCTGTCTGAGTTGGTTGATATTCTTTGTTCAGACAAGACATAAAACTTTGCTGAAAACCATGCTTCTCCAGAGCGCTTCCTCAGAGCTCCCTGAGAGGCTGCCTTCTGTGGAGTAGTTCTCAGTTTGGCTTAAAGAAAATTCTTTTCTCTTCCTATTTTATGTCATTTAATGATTATTTTCATTGACACAAGTCTACAGATGGGAATACTGTCCTAAGACTGCAAAACAGGAAACGTGCTGTGGGAATGTGCAGGGGGCCCAGCTCTTTTCCTCCCTCCGGGCCTCCTTCCTCACAGCCCACCTCCTACAGCTCCCACCTCACACAGTCCTGAGGGAGCACCCGGGGCACCTGGGAATGAAAATCCCTGCTGACTGACCACTTGGTCCCCTGTCCTCCCACCTCAGGCCTCAGTTTCCCTCCAGGGCACTGAGCAGGCACTCAGAGACAGGGTGGGGGGAAAGACCTTGATTCCTTGTATCTCAGAAATAATCCTTGGCCCCCTGAGCCTCAATGCAGAACCCCAGGGGTGGCCTCAATGTGGCCTGGCCACAAAGACAAGGGACTCTGACTCCCCCTCCTTCACCTTCTCTGCTTTGCCCAAATTTCTCAAAGTGCTGAGCCCCCAACATCCACCTTCCTTCTGTTGTCACCACTCACGTATCAGCCACCTGAGCAGTTGTTGCCCTCCCTCTGCTCTGTTTGGGGCCGAGGGGGCAGGAGGAAGAGGTCACACCCACCTGCCTCCACATGCAGGCTCTGCCCTGCTTGTCCTGTGGTCCCGGGCCCCTCACCTCATCTCCCTGAGCTTCACATTCCCTTCTTCTCCAAAACAGTCACAATTAAGTTGTGACCTGCACCCTCTTCTCAGAGAGACATGGTGAGGATGGGGGAGATGGGGGGTCTGCTTACCCAGGAGTCTCCCTCGGCTGAGTGTGAACCAGACCCAGATGTC